TACTACTACAACTACTCTACTACTGCCACGACTACTACTACTACTACTACTTCTACTACTACTACTACTACTACTACTACTACTACTTCTACTTCTACTTCTACTGCCGCTGCAAGAGTCGTCGTGGCGGTCGCCGTCGTCATGGCAGAAGCCGCAGTTGCAGTAACAGCAGCAGCAGCAGATGTATAGATATATGCATGTCAGTGGGATGAGCAGCCGGAGCAGAAGCATCAACAGCATGATCAAAGCCGCCGAGCCTCTGCGGCATCGAGTTAATTAATGAGCTTAGTTGTAACTGACAGGGTTTTGGCTGACACGAACTGTCGGCCCAAGCTTTCAGTTTACAGTCTACAGTCCATGTCATATGTCGTGGACGACCAGAGGCATGGCAAATGGGAACGGCTAGCCCTGACGTCTCAGCCCTCAAAAGGCTGCCGGCCGAGGCCTCCTGCGAAGGAGGACTCTCCAGCTTGGCCCACTGAACCGCTGCAGCATAGACTGCAGGGACCGGAAGCCTAGATTGCAGGACAGAGGACTGGCAGAGTGGCGGGTTTATCGAGACGAGAAATAAATTAACCAGACACCACATGCAAAGAACCCAACAACAGAAGAGCTCTTTGAATGGAGCGGGTACATCTCACGACAGTGTGCACCCGCCGTTTCAAGGAACTTGGTGCAGCTCCAAAGCTCTATCTTCAGGGTTTCTTGTCATGGCAAGTTCTTGAATGTAGATAGCCGAGGCGGAACTCAAACGTGGGACGACCCTGCAAGGCGAAGTTGCCCAAGGTTTCATGGGATGTTGAAGCATTTCAATCCTGCTACAAGTACCCTGGCTACCCCCCTACAAGTTCCCAAACTCTCGGACCGAGCATTGCCCGAAACCCAGCCGTGCCTGGGAGCCAGGAGAGCCGAGACATCCTGGGCTCATACGGCCGAAGGAAGGACTTCATTGCGGCGCCACGTCAGCTTGCGTATCTGTGTCAACGACCTATAGTAAGGATTCTATGACATGCTCGACACCTTCAAGACTGAACTCTCTTGCTCCGTGCACCAAGCGGCAAGAGACACGGCCTTCACAGCAGGCCATAGATTTGGCCGGGGAGACATCGCCGTCTCCCCAAACTGACGTCTATGCTGATTAACATTTGATGGTTGGGGTTGGCTGACCGTCGGGGACAAGGTTGCGAGAGAGAGATAGAGGGACATGTAAAGCATGTATGTACACACGTCTGCAGTCCAGGGCTTTGTGCGTAAGCGAAACTTCCATTTTGCACAAGGCCTTGTTGGAACTGCTGTGGAATGCACCGCGTTGCATTAAAGCAAATTTCGATGATGAAGGCCACGTTCGCCCTAGTGAAGGTGACGTCATACCGAATCCAATACACTCGAGTGGATTGAAAAAGGCACTTTCGGCTGCTGCGGTATTATAGTGGCTGCTGTGATCCTTTCTGAAAACTTGAAACATGAAGACTGACACCGAGAACGACAAGATGCATACATGAATACATACTTACATATATACATACATTACATACATACGTACACACATACATACACATATACATACCTACGTACGTACATACATACATACATACACACATACACACATACACTCATACACACATACGCACATACATACAT